CACATCTACATATCATGCATGTATCACAAGTTTTTCCCCCCACACTTAGTATACACATTGCTGTCAATGTGTAGAGAAAGATAAATGAACAAAAATAAGAAATGATCCCAAATGTCAATGGTTAAAATCCTGATCAACTATGAATCATAAACCATCAATCTACAAATCTACTAACACTGCAGATAGTTCATAAGTAGCAACATCATAAGTTCAAAAAAAATGATTAAGAGTAAAAACCAAATAACAAATAAAAGTTTCAAATTTTCAAGGAAGCAAGAAAGTCAAAAAATAAAAGCTGTAAAAGGCCATCTGGAAGTAATTCATCTTAAGCCATTGGACCATCTCTTCCACCGCTCCCTTGGGTCATCTAATTGCCTCTCCAGTTGCATCCTTCAAGTTAACTCCTCCATCCTCCAAATCAGGTGGTGGAGGAGGCAAAATGCCCAAATAATGTTCGATGTGGCATAGGCAGACATCCTGCCTATCAAGGCGAGCATCTATCCTATCAAGTCACTCCACCACTTGTGTCTGCGTGTAACCAATTGTTTCTAACACTCTCTGCCACGTAGACCGTGAGGATAGAGGTAATGGTGTAGAAGTCGAGGCGCCAATCTCGCCCTCATCTCTAGGCGCTAAAATGGAAGTTTCTTCTTGGTTAGTTCAGGTTGCATCTCTAGTTCAATGACACTATGGGTGAGGAATGTTATCAGCTCTTATACTCAATTCTTAAAGAGTATAAACATTTATCTTATATGTTGACTTCATTAATACCTTCTTCTTTCCTTCCAAATCAACTTCCTCTTGCTAAAAAAGAAATGATAAGAGGTGCGAGAATGCAAAATGATACTTTGTAGTGTGATGTCTTGCAGTTGTTCTCATATAGCTGGTAATGGTATTTGGGAGTGAAATTTGCGCAAATGGAGAATTGCTATCGTGGAACATCTGGTCCATCAAATACAAGTCGCTATTCTAGACTTCATTCATGCCACTCTTCTTCGAGATCACATTTTGAGAAAATATGTAGAGAATAATTAAAATGATGGCATAGTTTCAAATGCACTTGCTTTCTTTATAAGTATGTGTAGCAGTTAGTGATCTAACTTAGCTAATATATGTTTAGGAGGTCAAATTAAGAAGAATCATACTTAACTTTCAAAGGGGTATATCCACCTATCTTGGACCGGCCCTCCAAGTTTGGCTTGACGGGATAAGTGAACAGCTAAATGAATCATAATATCAAAAAAAGTTGGCGGAAAGATTATTTCCAACTTGCATAATATCATTACTATGTTCTCTTCTAATTTCTCAATCTCCTCCAATCTAAGCTTTCTTGAACACAAATCTTGAAAGAGCTTAGCTACTTCACATACTAAAGTATACACCTCTGTTGACAAGAATCCGTGCAATCCAATAGGAAGCTTCCGTTGCAAAAGAATATGATAACCGTGGCTCTTTAATCCTGATATCTTACTAGTTTTTGACAAGAACCGGTCCGAGCTAGGGAATCATGGCAAGTTAGTTTCTAAGGAAATTGAAATTCTTGTCGAAGCAAAACTGGCTATTGCATGTACTGGTTTTGAGCTGGGTATTCTCTTAGCCAAAAAGTAACATACAACTTGCCCAAGTTGCGCAACTTTACTCCTTTGATGCATGCACTTTCTTGCTTTGGATGGGAGATTTGATTAGACATTTTGGTGACTGAAAGATCATGCTCAAGAAACTTTAAAAACATCTTTTTTCATCTCAAATCCTCACGATTCCATGGAGCCACAAAATTTGACTTTAAAAGCCAATTTTGTCAAGAATTCACATTAAAAAAGACACAAAAAGGCTTGAAGAATCTATAAATAGAGTTTGTGTTTATTATTTTAGCATAAGTTAGAGAGCTTGGAATAAAGAGAAACACAAAAAATGTAGCTCTTAAACTACAAGCTCCTAGTAGTTAGTTTAGGAGTAGACTAGGGTAATGTGGTTTAGTTCAGCTACTTTTGCACTTGTAGCTAGATTTGGATGAAGAGTTAAGGAACAAAATGGAGAATTGGAACTCATATGACAAGAGTGACCTCTCTCATGTTACTTTTTCTTTTGTAATTGATTTCATGTTTAGCTATAATATAAGTGTGGTCTTTTCTTTGATTTTTATTATATGTTTTTAAAAGTTTATACCTAGAGTTATGGATGAACTTTTTATGATTGTTTGTGAAATTTGCTTGGTTATTTAATACTATTATTTTGAACAAGTTATTTAGCAGTTTTGCTTTTATAATCATAATTAATTGATCATTAATTGTGATAATCTCAAGATGTTAAGTTTCCAATGTAAATTGGGATTTAACACTAATTCAAGGAAAGCCTAAACCTGTAGAATACTCTCATGAGAATAGAGATACATTTTGGTGGTCTTAATGGCTTATTCCATATAATTTCATAGAATTTAATGAACTTGTAGTTAATTTGATAACTCTAAGAGTAGGTATAGTTTAACTATAAGTATAGATGATTACTACAAGAGTAGGTTTCATAGATATTATAAAATTATGCCATAAATAGCCAAACTAATAGCATTCAATTAACCTATAGATTCACTTGGAAAAGTAATTAGAAATTTCATAATCCTAGGGGGTTTTTATTTTTATTTCTACTCCTTTTATTTCATGCTTGCAATATAGATTTATTTTCTCGCGTTTATGATAGTATAAATGATAAAGGAGTTAGAAAACCGTCGATAATTGACAATTTACTTTGTGGCATCGATACCTAGTATCCCCTATACTCAATAAACAATTTGTATATTTGCAAAAAATAGAGGTATTTAGGTTTTTAAAATTTTGTGTGAAGGAAAAACCTCATCAATAATTCTAAATCATAAAATATGACTTTCATCATTTTCTTGGTAAAAAAAAGTTCCTTTATACATTTTATTTTTCAAAATTTATAAAATGATCTACCTAACCCTAACTCTTATCTACCCTTTTCATTTCCTACATTCATCGCTACTAATTTTATTTACTTTGCTACCCTCTTTTATTTTTTCTCAAAAATTTCTTTTCATTTCTCATAAATTCTATCCACTACATCACTCTAGTAATTATTTTATTTTTTAATTTTTAAAGCTTGCATGTTTGGTTGTGCAGTAACCTATCATCCTTATTAAAAATAAATTAATGACTTTCAAGAAATAGAGAAAACAAAAACAAATGTGTTAGAATATTTTGTGTTTTGATTTTCTATTTTGTTATGATTTTAGAGTTACTGGATTAAATGCTCTTATGGATTTGAAAAAATGTTGTATTATTTGATTTGTTAATCTAATCTTTGTTCCCTATAAGTAGAAAAAGATTAAGTTATGATATATACCCGACCCTATTCCATAGATTAATCGAATGAATTGGGTCAAGATACGGATTGCAATTTTGCGAAATTAGTATATGCGGTTAGGATCAGCAAAATTACAAATAGACTAGTTGCCCAGACATGAACACCCCTACTGTAGGCCATTACCACTTTCGATCACAAATTTTACTAAAATTTCATTCCCTTTTTTTGCGTAAAATCTAATTTTGATATTAGTTTTTGCAAAAGTGAATGATTGTGGGTGAAAACAAAGAAAAAAGGTAAAATATAGGGAATCTCCCTGTGATTGCAGCGAAAGTCAATTGCCCGGTTCACAGTTTCAAAGTATCTATGTAATCTTCTGGAGATTTAAATTGGCGTGAAAATTGGCCTCTTACTAGCTGTGTTAGTCTTTGCAAGATTAAACCAAAAAACATAAATTTTCTTTCTGATTCTTTCTCTTTTCATTTTTTCTTCCTTTTCTACTTGATATGGAAATTCCCACAATAGTGCAGCTCATGCCAACACCACCATTTGGATTAGCTATTTTTGAAAAATTTTATTGTAACAAAGTTTTAGAGTATATTTTGGGATATTTTTAGAAAATATTTTGAAAAATTTAAAAGTAGAAGAATTATTAGAATATATTTTGGGATATTTTTTAAACATTAAAAAAAATTTAAACTATTTTTTAGAATACCTTTGAGAGTACTTTTTAAAAAATTTTCTGTTTGGATGGAAGTGTTTTCAAAAACTAGTTTTTCAAATACAATAAAAATTTATCAAAAGTACTCTAAAAGATAATCTAAAAATTAGTTTAAATTTTTTTAAAATTTTAAAAAATATCTCAAAATATATTTTAGAAACTCTTATATAGGGGTGGCAATGGAGCGGGGGTGGAGCGGGGGACACCTCCCCCAACCCCCGTCCCGTTGCATTTTAATTCCCCCCGCCCCTGCCCCGTCCCCCGCCCCGCCCCGCCCCGCTTCCCCCGCGGGGGCACCCGTGGGGTTAAAAAAATTTTTATTATATAATTTCATTATAATTAAATTTGAGCAAATAATCAAGTACTAAAATATCAGCACATCACCAAATTATTATTCATTATAACTTCACAATTGAAACTCATAAAAATAATTAAACAAAAGTTATTTGAATACAATCTAATATAATAAAACAAATATAACTAAAATAATCAAGTACTTTTGATACAAATACAATCACTAAATTATTATTATATTTTTAAAAAAAAAAAGTGTTATTGTTTAAGTGTAGTTAGGAATTTAACATAAATGTATTAATAAATTTAGTATAAATAATTAATAATTTTTATTAATAGACATGTATAATTAGTAATATAATTGATAATATCATTATATATAATTATGTACATATATATATATATTTTCAAACGGGTGGCTTCCCCCGCCCCCGCTCCAATCCCCGCCCTTATACTCTTAAATATTCTAAAATATTTTCTAAAAGTATCTCAAAATATAATATAAAAACTCTATTACAGTAAAATTTTTCAAAAATATTCCAAAAAATAGCTAATCCAAACAGATATTTGAAAAACTAATTTTTGAAAACCAGAGCAATCTAAAGAGAAATTTGGGTTCTTTTTCTTATTTTTTTTTCTCCCCAACTAATCCAGCTTTTTATCCCAGCACCAAACAACATCAAATTAGACACGAAATTTGAGATATTGTGGGGCAAAGAAGAATAGGACGCTGGCGACGGGATGACAAAGGCGAGGATGAAGACGAAGAAGAGGAATAAAGCTCCGGAAATAGAGAAAACAAAGGTAGAGGAGATCTCAAGGTCAAATAATTGCTCTCATTCTTTCTCATCTTGGACGATTTCTTTAGTGGCTGAAAATTCCTAACAAATATAATAAGGAAGGGAAGTTGGAAACAGGTTTCCATCACGAGAGAGGGATTCTGCTAAGCTAAGACGCCCTATGATTCAAGATGATTAGTTACCAATTGGGAAATCTCGGTCTTCTTCACATTTTTCCATGGAGAAGGCACGATTGGAATTGGGATTGAGAAAAATTCTCTCAGCCATTATCACAAACACCCCCAAGGCGTTCAATTTCTTCTCTAATTTTCAGAATTAAAAAACAACGAATTGAACGCACTATTTCTTGACAAAAACCAGTCTAAGATTGACAACAAAAGAAACGAATTGAACGCAGCATTTCTTAACAAAAACCAGTCTAAGATTGACAACAAAAGAATCTATACAAATAAGATTTCACAGAAATCGCCAAAATTTTCTTGGTTTCTTTGTTTTATTTCCATAACATTAATATCTTTTTCAGAAATTCAAGGCAGGGATCTTGGAAAACAGAGGTATCAAGAAGGGTAGATTAGATTTCAATAAGTGACCTGATAATGTAAACCTATTCCTTATCCACTCTGGAGTGCTCTGAAATTGAGGCAGAAAAGCAAAAGAAAAATACGGAAGAAAAGGATTTAAGTTTCTCTTTTCTTGAGTAGTATGATGGAGGGATTCAGCTGCAAAGTTGGTGCAGGGTGGCTGTGGCGGTGGTGGTGGGTTGACTTGTTTGATGGATTTTTTTGGGAGAATTTGATCGAAGGAAGAAGAGATGGGAAAGAAAACCAAAATAAAATGGCGAAAGGAAAAAAGAAAAAAAAATATATGGAACACGATAAAATGTAATTTAGAATATCCTTATTTACTACACTAAATAAATTTCACAAACCCTAAACTGAGCAGAGGCTTGAATTTTGGTAAAATTTTATGATCAAAGTTGGGAGTATGACGGCTAGATGTAGCCATAGCTGCTACCACATTCTTAGATAGGAAAATAGGACGAAGAAAAGAAAAAAGAAATGAGATGGACCTTTTTCCTGCAATCTTTTGACAAGAATGTGAGTAGAAATGAATTGGAGAATTAAAAAAAAATGTGCTTTTTCATTTTTGAAGATAAAAAAAATCATCATTTCATGTATAAGCGACGTAAAAACTACGAAACAAATACATGAAGGACGAAAAATCATATGACATATGCATCATGATTTACAAATTTTGTAGATTAAGTTTGACTAACCATTTCCCCATGTTATAATGAAACGTGGTTGCTTCAGCTGGTTAGGGGCCTCACAACTTCCATTCCATTTAGCCACTTTGACAAGTTAGTTTTTTGGGCGCAACGGATCTTCTGTCTCACATCATATCGTGTGTCATTCTCTGTCCCACTTTTTATTATATTGCCATTCTCTGTCCCATTCTCTGTCCCACTTTTATTATATTGCCATTCTCTGTCCCACATCGTGTGCCATTCTCTGTCCCACATCGTGTGTCATTCTCTGTCCCATTCTCTATCCCACAACGGATCTTCTGGGTGTTTGTCTAAAATTTTACTGTAACTTACTGCAGAAGTTTTTAAAAAAATTTTTGAAATGTGTAAATTTTTGAATATTTTGAAGTATATAGTTTAAAATTTTTGAAAATTTTTTTAAAGTTATTGTAACTAAAGTCTTTAAAAAACTTATAGCAGACAAACTTGGAAATAAACTTACCTTCCAAACAAGGCTGTAAAATGGTCATTTCAAATTATTTTACATTACCCTGTAACTAACCCACACTCTGTTCATAACTTATTCAATTAAACTTGTGTACATGAGTATGAATGTGTGTTACATCTATAAAATTTGTAAATTAAAATTAAAATTAAATTAAATAACATGCGTCTTTGTCCGTTAGTATGTACCGGTGTATCATGTATGCTATAGATTAACGCCAATTTATTATTGCAACTCACTTACGTGATACATCCGGAGCAAAACTTATTTGAAATGGAACTCGTGAGGCCCATCCACTTGCTCCAGCATTGCCTACTTCCCAAGAAATTCGCATCAAACTGGTGCACTTGCCCCAACCGACGAAATTCCCAGCTTGTCTGGGACCCGTTGTTGTCTTCTAGTGAATTGTCTTAATGGTCAGGATTTCAGATTGGAATGATCAAGGGCTCTCGATCATAAGTAGAGAAACCTTTTTTAGTGCCTGAACAACTCCTCGGATTCCCTCAACACCTGCAAGCGTTTCTTTCCTCGGACACACAAAGGTCAACGACAATGGCTGAAACTTTGATCGTGCTTTTTTCTGGAATCTTGAGCAAGATACCTCCGATATCTGACGATCGGAGACTGGGTTTACACAAAGAACTTGAAAAAATGGCAACTATGCTACTTAAGTTGCAAGCTGTTCTCTTTGATCTTCAAAGCAGCGATGGATATCACAGCAGCCAAACTGAGCTTTGGCTGAAAATGCTCCAACAGATATTATCCGACACTGAGACCTTGGTGGACGAGATTGCATATGAAGTTCTTCGCCGAAAGTTTGGGATCAGAAAGTTTGGGATCAGAAATTGGGGCGACAAGGTAAGCGGCTTTGTTGCTCCCATTTCTCCACTTGTTTTTTCCTCGATAATTGAATGTCTTCGCCAACAGAGTGAGATCCACGATTCGGATAATAAGGTGCTCAGCTTCTTTCCCTTTTCATATCGTGGAAAGATGGCTCGTATGATAAAAAATACTATATTATCTTTAGAGGTGGCATATGAAGAATTCTCAGGTATCCGGGCTACTAGAGTGGATTTGATGAGCAGGCCTACTCAGCTGGAAGAAACACGCTCCATGGCTTCCTTTCTGGATGACCAAGCAATTGTACGAAGGGAGAATGATATCTCTGTGCTGACAAGCATGTTGGACGACTCTGTAGGCGACTTAGAGGTCATTAGCATAGTGGGAATGGGTGGTGTTGGTAAGACGACCCTTGCTTGGCTAGTGTACGGCCATCCCCGGGTAGAGTATTGCTTTTACAAGAGAATGTGGGTACACGTATCTGAGAAATTTGAAGTGAACAGAGTCTTGAATGACATACTGCAATCTCTAGGGGAAGCCCGCGTTGAGACAACTAGTAAAGAATCACCAGTGTCGAGGCTTCGAGAAATCATTCCCAGGAGAAGAAGTTTCCTTGTGCTCGATGATGTCTGGACCGAGAGTGAAGAAAAATTGTATGAATTGAAGAGTTGTTTGCTATATGCAATGTCTGGTGGAGGGAGCAAGATACTGATAACTACACGCAGTCATAGAGTTGCTGCAATGATGCGAACATCTCATGTTTGTCCCTACGTGCTACAGCCTCTCCCAGAGGACCTCAGCTGGGAGTTGTTTGAGAAAATAGCATTTAGACATGGGAGTGCAGGAAAGTATCCGGAATTGGTAGACATTGGTCGAAGGATGGTTAAAAAGTGTGGGGGTCTTCCATTAGCTATAACAAAAATAGCCGGTTGGATGTATCCCCAGAAAGATCAATCCGAGTGGTCCAGGATTGAAGAAAGTGAAATTTGGAATTTTCGATCTGCAGGTCATCCGTATGGGAACGGTAGTTGGTATAAAAATGGAGTCCTTTCTGTATTGCTGCTCAGTTATTATAATTTACCATCACCGTGGTTGAAAAAATGTTTTGCATGCTGTTCCATATTTCCCAAGGACACCCTCATAGAAAAGGAGAAGCTGAAACAAATTTGGATGGCACTAGGACTCATTAGTTCTCCTAATGAAAAAAATTTGACATTGGAGGACGTTGGTAGCAGCTATATCAATATATTGCTACAGAGTTCTCTGTTGCAAGACACTCGAGAGGATGACTATGATAATATCACACATTGTGGGATGCATAATATTGTGCATGACCTTTCGTTATATGTGTCACATAATTTTTCCTCTGTTTTCGATGGGCTCGAAAGTAATTCTACAGCCGACATGAGTATAAATGATGATGCTGAGGCTGTACATTTGTCATTTAATAATTCAGCTACATGGACGATGTGCAAGATTCCTGATCGACGTCTCAACAATTTGCGAACATTTTGTGTTGTAGGGGGCTGTGTAGACCTTGAAGATGTCTTCACAAACTTCACAGGTCTTCGTGTCTTGATAGTTGAAGACCATGCTGTCAAGAACTTACCGAAGACTGTTGATAGATTGAAACATCTAAGGTATCTTGACATCTCAAGAACCAGAATCAGATTTCTGCCGCAGTCCTTTACAAAGCTCTACAATTTGCAGACATGAAGGGTCTTTGATCTGGTAATGCTTCCAGAGGGGTTCGAAAAACTCATTAACTTGAGGCACTTTTACATTCAGCAATATCGTCGTAGTCGTCCGCCGAATCTTTTGCTTCCAAGGATAGGGCATTTGACTAATCTTCAAACATTGCCTTTCTTTTCGGTGAGCCAAGAAAAGGGATGTCGAATTGAAGAGTTGGAATACTTGGACAATCTTGGAGGTAAATTAACAATCTATGGCCTTGAAAACGTGAACAGCTATGAATCTGCTTTGAAGGCAAATTTGTCAAGGAAGTTTCGAGTCCAAAGTTTGGAACTCTACTGGGAAGGTCCAAACAAGAATAGCAATGATAAAGATGTGCTCGAGGGTCTCAAACCTCATAGCAATTTGAGAAGTCTAAAGATTGTTGGTTTCCAAGGGTCAAGATTCCCTCAGTGGATGGTTCGACAAAATCTACTGTCATTGCATAATCTAGTGCAGCTTCAATTGGAGCATTTGGATGAGCTTGAAGATCTCCCTCCAACCAAGAGGTTCCCTAAACTAGAGAAACTACGTCTGCATTGGCTTCCAAAGTTGGAAAGTGTACCAGAGGATACGAGCAATCTTACCTGTCTTCGGAGATTGGAAATTTCTTGTTGCCATAGTTTGACAAGTTTACCAAATCTGAATAGCCTTGCAACTCTTCAGGAGCTGGAGATGATCGGTTGCCCTAATTTGACCCATCTATGGGAGGATTCCACATGGCAAGATGGCATTCTATCTCTTGAGAATCTATGCATAAGCAATTGCCCCAATCTTGAAGCTATTCCAGCCATTCAGAAACTCCAATCGCTGCGTAAACTGCAAATTGAAAGTTGCGAGTCGTTGAATTTATCGTTAAAAAATGTTGGGAATTTTCAATACCTCGAGTTCCTAGATATTTATTCCGACCCTGCCACATGGCCACAGGACATCTATGAATTGACAAGCCTCACGACCTTGCATCTTGGTGGCTTCTCCGAGAACATTGATTATTTTCCTTGGCCCGACACCTTCTCGGGGCCTGTTGATGGAATAAAAGAACATTGTGCCTCTTTAAGGTCCCTTCAATTGTACGGGTGGCCAATGATCAAATCTCTGCCTGGGCAAATGCAGTACCTCTCCAAGTTGACTAATTTAACAATAATCAGGTTTGATGGGTTGGAGGCTCTTCCAGAGTGGCTGGGGAAATTACAATCTCTCCAAACGTTGGAGCTTTTTGCATGCAAGAACCTGAAGTACTTACCTTCAACAGCGATGGAATGTCTTGCAGATTTACACACTTTGAGAATCAATAGATGTCCCCTTTTGAAGGAGAGATACAGCAGAGGAACCGGCGAAGAGTGGCCCAAGATAGCCCATATTCCTAATATTTATCTCTAGACTTCTTCATATCCAACCATGATGTGAGTTTATGTCTCCAAGTATCTACCTTGAATTTATTTCCGAATATCAAATTTGCAATAAAAAAAAAACATTTTTTATCATGTTTAATGTTAGATTCGGCTCTTGTTTTTATTCCGGTTTTGCTTGGGATTTTACTTTTTGTTCTTTATGATTAAAAGATACAGAGGAGTAGATTATTTGAAACGGATAGCCTTGCTGATGATACCAAGTGAAGAGCGGTTGTTCAGTCCAAGATTTTTTTTTGGAGGGGATATTTTCCTGTTTCTGATTGGGGTCAAAGATCTACAATTAGAATTATGGAAATCTGATTTTGTTCCAGTTAATTCTGCTTTTCCTAGGCCCAGAACTTACCAGGCTGAACCCTCATCATTCAGAGGTTACCACACCAGGTTTAGTGCTCCTTTGAATATGATAAATTTTTTGTCTTCCAAAAAATGAATGCAATGATTTGTTGTTTTGACTACACTGTTTGTCAAACTGTTACTGTTCCTTCTACTGCCATCTCATTATTGAACCTGGGAATTTTTTGCTGGTCCTTTGAGCTTGATTTTGTTTGTTTTAAGCATTTATATATTCTCATGAATGCCTTGGGATGAATCTCATAGTAATAATGAAACTTCTCTTCAATGTCAATTTGTAAGTGTACAATTACATAAATTTCCAAGTCCAAAAACATTTGTGAGGTCGACTAAGTTTCTGTTTTTTCAATGCTTTCACAGTAATAACCCCATAATCATTCCCATGATTCAATTTGATAAGTATGCAATTACATATTTTCCAACTCCAAAGACACTTGTGAGGTCAACTGAGTTTCTGTTTTTTCAATGTTTTCACAATTATAACCCCATAATCATTCCCATGATTCAATTTTTTGGCACTTCTTCTTAAAATCTACTTATCTCATTGAAGTTCCTTGCCTTGCCCAGCATCCGACTTCATACTTTCCTTGATGCTTGGATGACATATTCCCTCGAGGCTTTGTTGGCTACACTACTAACTGTTGAACCTTCGGTGCTACGCACTGAGAAGATGTCCCCACAGAATCAATATATATAATCTTCCCTTAATTCAGAACTTGAGTTGTATTTTCACTTTTGATTGTGGAATGACTAATTTTATGCCCAATAAGCAGAAGGAAGGCTATATTTGCTTTCAAGGAGACTGTGGTAAAGGAGCTGAATTAGACCTGAGCTTTTGAATCATAACAAGAGGTAATAAGGTACGATGCTTCTGCCACACAATTATTATGCATCTTACACTTTGTAAGCAGTGGACTGGCACTTTATTACTAGATATCACCGAAATCAAGCAATTTCAAAAGACACAAATCAAAGGGCTCTGCTCTAGCACTTTGTCGGAATAAGATTTTGTTGATTGTTCTCATTCCTTGCATTTCTTCTACGTAGGTATAGAGTACTAAATACTGATGTTCAAGCTCTCTTTGTGAAGGTTATTACATAGACCAGGAATTCCTGAAGCTTTTGTTGGATTGGCACTGCAACTCCCTGAGATTCTCAGTAAGTAGACTACTTCTACTGCCTTGGACTGGCTTTCTTGTAGTTTTGCCTGTAAAAGTCCTTTATCTCTGTGAGTCAATTCACCTATAATTTGAGACAGATGTACTGGTCAAAACGTTTACCTTGTATTAAAGTGTATTCTTCCTCCATCATATGTGTGCACCTGGACTAGTGCCATTTTCTTTAATCCCTCCGCAGAAATTAAATTATGGAACAAGATTTGTCCAGAGTCCAGAGTTTATATGAGCATTTTTTTTTTCACTAGTAAGGTGTTGATCTATTCAGTTTTCAATCTTTGATAAGTCATACAAATGTCACAATGCTTTTCTTTCTCCATATAACGGAAAACGTGACGTTCTGTGAGTCGTTAATACTGGTGGGATGTGGAGTATTTTTCTTTACCGAAGTAAAGGAAAAACCAACACCTTAAGTTTAATGTTTTAAACCTGACTATAGCCAATAACTTCCTGGCTGTGTTTTATTCAAGTGGTATGCAGATTTTTTCTTTTCCTGCATTTGTGCCATACAGCAGTTGGCATGGACCAGGCATGTGAAAAAATTCCTGAGTTGGGCTAAGTTAGTCTCAGTTTGTTCATATTCATTGTGTCAGGACTCAGGAAACGTAGATTGCTGATTATTTGTATTCAGAATATTGTAGATGGGAAATGCCAAGATTCTTCTGAGGTAAGAACATCTTATTTGACCTACTTTGAAAGGTTTTCAATTTAAAGTATCATGTTTAATGCGTGAAGAACTTCTGCTTTTAATCTCAGATGGAGAAGAATAGAGTGTTAAATGTGCTCAGAAGAAGCTTACAGGAAAAGTCCAAGGAAGAAGTACAAGGTGTCTGGCATGAACAGCTGACATTTCTCTTGAAACAAATTCAACTCCCTTCTGTTGAGTCTTTCATCCTCTCTCTCAGACAGCGCCAGTATATTCAGTGTAAATATGGTTATTCAATTCAATGGGACTCTGATTTGTACCAATGTGCATGTTGCATGGTTTTCAGTTTAGGATATTGATCTGGACCTCCAAAATTGCAAGAACTACTGCTCTAAGATCTAATCCAGCTTGGAAGCTGAGTCTTGCTCTTAAGGTGGCAACTTAACCCTGTAAAAACGCAGTTTTAGAGGTGATAAGTAACGTCGCTTTACGGCTGATTCAGAAGTGAAAATTGTTAGTTAGTGTTTACACCAAAACCATTTCATTTCTGATTCTTGGTGAGGATGTCAAATAGATATCCTCATGGAAATCTGGTATACACTTTCGTGAGAATGTGATTTAGGTGGAGATAGAGCAGGCTTGAAGCTGATAGCAGTATGTTATTAACAGTATCCCGAAAATGTCCGGGTCAAAATATGGCTTTCAAATTAAGTTCTGAATTAGTGGATGTTGCTGTCAAAAAGAGTGGCAATGCCATATGTAAAAGGGAAGAGACTCAAAGAACGGCAAAGGCAAATAGAACTTGTGCACATTTTCCGTAATCCAAGAACAGGATCTATATATCTGGATCAAAAAAGAATGAGGAAAAAAAGAAAGAAAGAAAGAAAGAATCGGAATTGATCGATGGATCTCTTAAAACAAATAAAAGCAAAAAATTTATGCATTTAATCACAATGATTTGTAATTGTATCACAGTACTACAGTTATGAGGTCCTTGGACCATTTCTGATATGAAGCATTAAGAGGAAAGCCTATTTTGAGGTACAAGGTTGAAGCTATGTTGAATTATCGATTGCAGCCGTTGCAAGACGGCACGAGGAAAAATGAATTACAAGTCCTTTTGACAGGAAGGAGAAATGAGCAGAAGTTAACCGAGTAGAGTTTCACTTTGCAGTAATCTTTGAGTTTCATTTTCCAGCAACTAAGTGGAGGATAAGGGAAAAGGAATGGACTTAGCCCATAAAAGGAATGGACAGTCCAATTACAACTGCAAAGTATTAATCAACCTAAAAGTTGAATGCTTAATGGTCTGAATACTTCTTTCTTGATCATTACAACAAAGCCCATACCTAAAACTACTTTCAAACAATGTTTAAACATGCTGTTTAGTTTTAAAATGTTCAAACAATGTTTAAAAATGCTCATTTGAAGAACATGTTTGTTCAAACAATGTTCTTGCATCTGCTCATGTTATACTGTAAATCCCTCTGATCTCCCCCTTGGTTTGGAGAAATGGAATGTTCATTTCAAAATATTTAAGAGACAAAGTAAAGACAAGCTCAATAACTGGCAACATTCTCAGAATTGTACATATATAAGGCATGTAAATAGGCACATGGACAAGCATGACAGCAGGAAAATAAAGGAGTCTAAACAAGTCGAGCACTGTAGTATTAAATTCTCTTTATTTATTTTATTGAATTATAAATTGTTTCCAGAATTTTATTGAATAATTTCACTTGCAAGAATTTGTATATCATTTGGGAGAAAGATTGAATTTTTAAACATTCTTTAGGACCGGCAAGTATATGTGGAAATTGAAATCAGTAAATGAATTCGTAACATGAATCAAGTGCATTTTACATTTGAAATGCAATATTGGATACATATCATATCACATAGACATGGACCGGTTACAGCGTAATTTTTAGGAACTCCGGTGGCTTTTACAATGTGAGATTGCAAGAAATTCAGGGCAATATCGTCACTCCATGGAAATTTTACTCGTTCCATGACAACCGATTCCCCTCCACCAATTATCCACCAAACCAAAAAAAAAAAATTATCCACCAAACCAAATCGCTCCTCTTCACAGCTTTCTATCTCACAGTTTTTTTTTTTTTTTTAAAGGAATCTACTTATTCATCTTGTTTCTGAAAAGATTTGGAATTCAGAGAGCTTATTCACTGCCTGCCTGAGGTATGTCTTTTGGTTTCTTTTAAACTTTTGCCATTTTTTCGTATTTTTTTTTCTCAAAGTTTTCGTGGTACTTGCATGATTAGGCAATTAAACTGTACTTGGATGAAAAATACATGAACCTTTGACCTGCAGTATGTCAAAATCGAAAGCAAGTGATAGATAGTATTAAATTTCTGGTTTCTTTATATCGTATTTGGCTTGCAGATTTTTCTTGCTTGGCAGAGTTTTCTAGCTGGATAATCTTTCTTCTTATCTTAGAACTGATCATTAAAAGAAGAAGCAAATGATTGCCGGTTATTCCCATGGTAGTTAATACAAAATAGGGAAGCAACTGATCACTGATTAGTTCTTCTTGTAGGCTCATTCTTGTGGAGTTTAGATTGTTAACTGGAGTTTTTTTGGTGTATTTTGCTGGTAACTACACTGGGATTTGATGTTTTGTTGTTAAGCGGCACATTAAAAAGCATAAACTTAGAGCATGGACTGATTTTCTCGAGTATTTGTTCAAACAAAGGCATTGGCTTTGCTGAGTAAGAAGGCAGGTTCTATGGTGGAGCACAACTTAAAGGTACTTTCTATCTGCAGGTTACTGTATATTGCTAATAGTAGCATTTCAGCTTTTTTTTTTTTTTTTAAAAAAACTCAGTGATTATCCAATATGTCCTTAATCTAGATGCTTATGCCTGGGCTTAATTTATTGCAGCATAGTTCCAATTTAATCTGTTTCTTGGGTTAGATACTTGTGTTGGTACTAATTGAAATATGTTCTTTGTTTGATAAGTCTAGCAAGTATTATTACAAGTGGTATATCAGTTGTTTTAGTTTAACTTTAATTATTGATACAAATTGAAATTGTGAAATGTGGCAAGATAGTAGATAGGAGATGGTGAGGCTTGTACTCCCTCCCTTTTTTTATAACTAACGTTTAAGAAATTTGCTCTTAAATACTTTTATCTGTCGTTGTATTATTCCCATGCAGCATTAATTATTTTTTCACAATTTTACCCTTTTATCTCTCTTTACCAATACAGGGCTCTTAATTACTACTCCTAGTAATTATTACTTTTCTCTTTACTTTTGGCCTAGTAAAACAGCACCATTTAATACTCTAGTGAGAGAAAACATGAGTGAATTGGACAATTAATGAGGGTATAAAAAGAAAGTAGTGTATAGATTTAAACAATGAAAAACTTTTCTTAATTGGTGTGCAAAACCTTAAACGTCAGTTATAAAAAAAGGGAGGGAGTATTAAGGAAGGGAATTAGGAAAAGAAAGCTCTAACTTGTATTTTATGTTGACTCTTAACTACTATGAAACCATCTAATATTCTGTGAACTTTTATTTCTTTTCCAGCTGCCATTCGTCTATTCAACTATAAATTTAATGTATCACAAAGTATTTGACTTGAAAACTCGAGCCTTTGGTGGGAAAGACTCAACCTCATCGTCCAATATATTGAAGTGGACTGATCTTTAATCTAGATTAACTTTCTCATTCTCCCAGTAATTCTCCCAGTATCTCCGGACATGAGCATAAAAATTGTCATTTATATCAGCTGTCCTTACACTTCAACAAAAAATCATCATGAAGTTAGTGATTTGTACATTAGAACAATTCTTGAAGGAGTTGGGAAGGGGAATAAGCCAGTTGATCAATGCCTGAGTGAATTGATTCAACTGATTTGGTCTTTTTTTGTTCCCCTAAAGAAATCAATACTATCTTATGCTACCCATTAATTAGAGATAGAGTTTGACAATAAGCAAATAGATTGATTGCTGCACTCTACTACTAAAAAACAAAGGGCAAATTACATTTTACCTCCCTGGTGGTTTAGCACTTTTTTTACATAATCCCCTTATGATTTCAAAAGTTATATATAACCCCCTCATGGTTTGGATTAAAATGTCAAAGTGACGAAAATAGTCATTCGTAACAGAACTTCTAAAAATGTCGAAATTACCCTTATAAATACGTAACACAGCAACCCGTATGATTTTTATATTTTACCATACAACCCCCTTATGGTTTAATATTTTATCATATAACCCCATTTAGTTTTCATAATATACACATAACCCTTCTTGGTTAATAAATAATTTTCAACTTTACATAAGGGTATTTTTGACATTTTAGGTGACTCCGTTACGAATAATCATTTCCGTCACTTTGACACTTTAATTCAAACCATGAGAAGGTTATGCATAGTTTTTGAAATCATAGGGGAGTTGTGTAAAAAAATACTAAATCACATGGGGAAAGTGGAATTTGCCCAAAAACAAAAAGCAACGTCAAGAGAAAGAGACAGAAATTCAATAGGGAATAAATTTTCCATAGTTACAACCATGTTAAAATATCAATTTCATGCTCTTCTTCTAGTTAATATATAAGTACGACTATTTCTGTAAGTGTACGCCAAATTATTGAAACCTGATGCCATCATACCAACAGTACCTACCCTAAATCTCTCCAGATAAGGTGTTTCTTGAGTGCAATAAAAGTTAGAGAAAATAGTTTTCAGGGGAATATTGGCTGAGAGCTTCAATGGCAGAGCCCACACCAGTGTCAACTCTAGCCTCTCAAATATGCAATCAGATTAGCTCTGTTTTCAACCAACCCATCTCTGGACCCACCGCCCTGGATGTGATTGTGGAAGAAGTGGCGGCAACAGCCAAGGGCAACGGCCAAATCTTCGTTTACGGTGTAGGACGAGAAGGTTTAATGCTGAAGGCTTTGTGCATGAGGCTCTTCCATCTGGGTCTCTCCGCCCACTGCGTCTTCGACATGACCACCCCGCCAATCGCTTCTCCTGACCTCTTGATTGCTTCGGCCGGACCGGGGGGTTTCTCCACCGTCGATGCAATTTGCGAGGTAGCAAGATCCAACGGGGCAAGAGTAGTGTTGCTGACCGCTCAGCCTGAGTCAAAATCTTCTTGTGTGAAGCATGCGAGCGTGGTTGCTCATATCCCTGCTCAGACTATGGCGGATGATCAGGTTGCTGCTGATCCCAAATCTAAGCCATTGCTTCCGATGGGAAGCCTGTATGAAGGGGCCATGTTTGTGCTATTTGAGATGGTAGTCTTCAAACTGGCTGAGGTTTTGGGTCAGAGTTCAGAGGTCATTCGTGCTCGCCATACTAATCTTGAGTAGAATGGCTGAGTTCTAAAACTTAATTGCCAGGACACTTGGGATTGACCCAATCATGTTAATCACTCTGGCTTTGCAAGAAAATCAGTCTTGAACTTCTGTTTTAGTCATATGTATGTATGAAATACATTAGCATTTTCTTTGTGGGATTTCATGTATTGACTCCGATGCAATAAAATACAAAATGCTGAATTTCCTATTCCAAAGTACTCGTCCCATATAAATTTCTCATTCTTTTGAGTCCAATATAAACTCAATTTAAACTCGAGTATTGGTAGGAGTGGCAATGGGGCAGGGGACACCTCCCCCAACCCCAGCCCCTGTTGCATTTTAATTTCTCCTGCCCCACGTCCTGTCCTGCCCCGCTTCCCTCGTGGGGTTAAAAAAATTTATTATATAATTTTATTATAATTAAATTTGAGCAAATAATCAAGTACTAAAAATCAACACATCACCAAATTATTATTCATTGTAACTCATAAAAATAATTAAACAAAGGTTATTTGAATACAATTTAATATGATAAAACAAATATAACTAAAATAATCAAATTTTTACATTTGATACAAATACAATCACTAAATTATTATTGTGTTTTTTTGCAGAAAAAAGTGTTATTGTATTAAGTGTAGTTAGGAATTTAATATAAATATATTAATAAATTTGGTATAAATAATTAATAAAATTTATTAATAGACATGTATAATTAGTAGTATAATTGATAATATCATTATATATATAATTATATATATATATATTTTTTCAAACGAGTGGCGGGGTGGGTCGGGGGAGTATACCCCTGCCCCGTTTCTAAACAGGGCGAAAAAATTTCCTCCCACCCCCGCCCCAATGACCCACCCGCGCGCGGACACCTGCCCCGTTGCCATCCTTAGGTATTGGATTTGAATCGGACAAGTTCAAACTTATGTCATGTATTTTTTACATTCATAAAATCTAGTCTTACATATAAAAAGAGGGAGTTGAGCTTAGGAATGGTGTTAGGAGACCTTGAGTGGGTGGACAATTTTGTGAATTCAATTTTATATGATATTGGTCAAGATTAGTTTCAACTCTAATCATGTGAGACCATGTGCCAATCGCTTTTTCCCTGTTTGGTTTGCTAATAAATTAGTTAGTTTGGGTGGTAATTGCTGTTGAAATATGAGATGCCATTTTAATTATTTTTGGTGATTAGGTTCAATACCTTGATTGTTTAATTGTTTAGCTTTGGAATCACGTTGGTTTTCCAAGTTATTATTCAAATAGTGATACTTTTTCCAATAGGTCTCGACCAATGATTCAACTGAAAGAATGCACTTCATGAATGCAGTTTTAACAAACAGTGCATTCACTAAGTATGATTTTCAGTCTTTAAAAGTATATATTAACACGCTCACTATTCGATGACTCTTTGAAAAAAAATCCATGTATGAGTCTTGTGCATGCAAGTTAAATTCTTTCATAAAATTTGGAATCATCTTTTGTGAAATACAACAAAGGTATGTTTGTTCTTCGTGCCTATTAGTTTTCAAAACTTCCAGCTAACTTTTAAATGCGGTTATCTTAGTTATTGCTTTACAAATTTCACTAATTTTTTAAGGCTCACACTTGGATAAATCCAGTTTTAATACATCTAATAGCCCAAATTGTATGATACAATCTGGACCATTGAATGTTTGAAATCGAGTCTACCCAAGTTTTGACCATTTGTTATTACTCTCTTCCATATTTTATATTGATAAATTTTTTCTATAGCTTTCATCTGAGCAACATCAAGCATCGCGTGATGCCCCAAAAAAATAGTTTGGATAAGAGTTTATTTGGATGATTTATTTGAGATAATTACTGTATCATTTTTTGTGATGTGATGTATGTAAGATAAAAAAGTAACTGAAAGATACAAACCCAGTGTTGCCAACAGACATGAAATGGAAATGGGGCATCAAAGGCCCATTAAAGAGCAAGTTCCCTGTTAGCAGCTGCAGTTGCTTTATCTAAGCCTGAGAGTAATTTTGGACCAGTAAAAACGCTACATTTGCTCGCCGAGTCCGTTTGCCCAAGTGTTGGGCAACAGGCCCAACCTTGGCTCATTCATGCGCATGAGCCTCAGGTCAAGATCGGGCCACCCGTCATGTTGTAAAGACTACAGTATGTTTTTTATTATAGTGTTTTTAATGAATGTATAAAATTAAAAAGAAACATGTTCATGTAGTTATTTTGAACAAAGTTTAGTGCATTAGCATAAAATCTTAGCTAACAAATGCATAATTATTTTAACAAAAATTATTAAGTTTAAATGTAGAGAAATGTTTAGCATATAAGTTATTCTTTTCAGTATTATTAAATCCACTGCACAATATTTCGACCAAAAGCTTGTATAGCCCAAAACTCAGTAATATTTTAATTGGGCACAAAGTTTAAAGCCCATTCTCAATCCAATCCTAAAACATGTGAAACTCGGCCCTATTTGGTGGTCATGGGTAGGCAACAATTCCAATTTTGATTCCAAATATTTTGCCAATTTGGTTTTCGACCAAGTAGACAATTGAGAAATTCAGAGAATCCTAGCAAAATAAGTCATCTGCAAGTCATGAACAAAAATTTTAAACATAAAAATACCATACACTTGGAAAGAAACTACAACCTAAGTTGCTTTCTCTCTATCTCACCTTCTCTTTCATAAATTCCTCAACACTTTATACACAAAGCCTCCAAAGTAAAAATCATATTGAGAAATTCTAGAAGCATTTGTAAGTTTTTAAAGGTGTCCTCTAGCAATATGTCACGAGACGATCAACTACTCCTAGAAAATGGTCCCAATTCTGATTTAAGGGGAAAAAATACAACTGATAAATTTGGTCAGTTGCTAGCTAGGGTAAGAATGATATGGCTGTTAGAATATACCAAAAGAGCCAAGATTGTCTAGAAAGGTTACTTTTACGTGACTCTAACTATCAGCAACTATCTTGTCAAATTTTTTCTTTAAGTTTATACTATAAACTCTAAGGCTCAAATTTGTTCTCCTTTAACTGGGGGCCACTTTAGTCCAGTACACTCTAGGGGACTAAGCCAATATCTATCTCATTCAAAATTTAAGCATATATGTAGTATTACTTCTTTCTCAGTTACACATGTATCATTAGATTTTGGTGGTTTATTCCTTTACAAGCTAATTAGGGAAGGGTTCTTGAAGTTCTCTTCACTGTTAGGTTCAGAATTTGAATCACAGACCTGACAGTTGGGATTGAAAAGAGTGTGGAGAGGGATGAGAGGTAAAAAATAATATTAATAACAATAATAAATTAAAAAAAGGGTTTTTAATGGGCACCCGTTAACACATCTAAAATTCATCTAATCTATTATATATATATATATATACATATACTATAATTATTATCCTCCCTTATATTTATATAATTTTTCTATTTAATCTTAGCTACCCTCCCATGTATTTATTTACTTTTCGTAATTAATCTTACATTTTTTAAAAATATGACATTTGAAATATATTTTACTGAGTGTCCAATGGTCACCCGTTAAACAAACATTTAAAAAAAAAGGCTAACCAAAATGTGACATTATGTTGATGTATAAATGACAATAAAAACTAAAATGTAACATATTGATGGTGGTATATATACTGCCGCAAATCCAGTGTGAATACTTTTTATGGCGGTATATATCTTGGCATTTTGCGCCATAATTTGCGTGCCTCGTAAAGCCAAAATTCTTGTAGTAACTAAATCAATAACTATACATTGGACAATGAAGTGTTAAGATCCACGAAGAATGGGGCTAAAATGGGAGGTTATAGGTGAATTAAACAAATTACACTGGTTAAAATAATTATATGCAAAAATGATTTTGCAAAGGTGAGAATATGCCTAAAAGTACAAGAGATTGAACTTGTAACGTTTTACTACTAACTGAAAATTCAGAAGTTGAGGTGTTCAAATTCGTGTGGATTAATCCATGAGCACTGTCGCAGAATTCTTGTCAAGTGTAAGCGACTATACCTAAAACGTTGAAAAAATAAAACTAAACCATATTTTAAATGCACTTTACAGCTGCAGCATACAATAATTTAAGTGCAGTTAATGTTGTTAACTTGAAGTATCTGTATAGGTGCATACCTCGGGTAAACAATAGAATAATTAGACTAGTTGTTTCATGCATGGTAGAGCGAGACTAACCAGAATTGATATTTTCATGTTGCCATGGGTGAGAATGGGATCTATTGGACATGCTTTTTTAACTTTATCTTTTAGCTCTTTGAGGTAGTTGCGACAAGATTATTACTGGAAAAATTTCACAAACCATTCTTGAGGTTTATGAAAAATTCAATAATTCTCCTCAAGTTTTTGAAATGGATTTATCTAACGAGTGTCCTATATGTTCGGGTATTAATTTTTTGATAAGAGTGAAACTAATTTAGAAAAGTATCTAAGGGTGCGATTAATAAAACTGAAGTTTGAAAACTGAAATTTGAATCCATTAAGTTATTGAATTATTAAGTATTAAATCAAATACATTTGAGTGTATATCATATTCAATAATAAGTGAATCGTTTATCACTTATTTTTGGAAGCAAGTTTTATCTAGAAAATTCAGTGCCACTTAGTTAATTCAGATATTCAATTTTTGATTATCAAATGCATCTAAACATATTAAGATCTGAATTCATATTTAAGTGCTGAATTGGGTTATCAAACATGGCCTAAATGCAGGAGAGACAAATAATACAAGCATGTGTATTCATAAGGTAAGTTAGGTGTAATTTAAGCGTCTTAACAAGTGCTTTTACTTACCCAAAATAACAATTAAGTTGAAGTAGGTTCCCCTGGGGCACTTTTTAGAAAAATCCTTTCAAAAATTAGACTTTTTAACAAGTGCTTTGAGCAAAAAAATAATAATTATATAGCTAAAAAAGGCATGAAAAAGACATAAAATGAAGTTACAAATTTTTTGTAGCATGGCGAGAGTAAGTTTTCAAACAAAATTCAGCATGTGCCTATTGAAATCTAATATTTAATTGACACGAACCATATATGGCAAGGAAATCTGAACATAAGGGATGTAATTGTAAGTTTAAAAACTTGAACGGACCTATGTGAAATTGTCATAAACCTAAAGGGATATCTGTGAAACTATGTCTTGAATAATTTATGTACACGATATTAACGGACAACATATTTTTAAAATTCTT